GGTGCTTCTCTGCAAGGGTTCCACGTGTGGCCTGAATGTATAATTTGGAAAAACTGCCACCGCTACCCCATGCATCCCAGCCACCCCCTACACCCTCCCTCTCAACCCCCACGTTTGCACCCTCTTACCTGTCCCCATCAAAACGCAGCCAGCCGGGCTCCCCATGTTGAGAAAAGGAAACCTTGGTCAGAGACTCCACAGCCCACATTTTTTAGGTGGGGGCGGGTGTGGCAGATTGGGAATGAGGAGGGAGAGAGGGGAGATGTTTGAGAGGGTAAGGGAAATAGAGAACAGCTGGGAGGGAGGAGGAGGAGGAGGAGGGAAAGGAAAGGAGAGGAGAGGGGCCTGGAGGAGGGGGAAGGAAAGACAAAGGACTGCTGGGAATCAACCCAGCAGGAATTACACTCATTTCTTTTTTTTTTTTTTTTTTTTTTTTTTTTTTAAATTTTTGGGATCTAGCCTTTACCCAGGGGGGAAAGGAAGCTGCTTTTTTTTTTTTTTTTTGAGTCTGAGTTTCGCTTTTGTTGACCAGGCTGGAGTGCAATGGCGGGATCTCAGCTCACTGCAACCGCCGCCTCCCAGGTTCAGGCAATTCTCCTGCCTGAGCCTCCCGAGTAGCTGGGATTACAGGCGCGCGCCCCCACGCCCAGCTAGGAAAGGGAGCTTCACAAATATCCAAACACGTGTATGAGTGTACACTGCAGGTGTGAATGTGAATGGCAAAGGGGGGCTGGCTGTGGCTGTGGGTGCAGATGGAGGGGATGTGGGTGACATACTGACAAGGAAAAGAGAAATGGGGAGAGGCCTCAAAATAAGCAAACCACCCTTCCACAGCCCTAATAAATCTGTTTTCGTTTCCTGTCCTCATCCATGTACACGTGTGACCTTTACCTCTTTAACTCACCAGAGTTGAGAGAGGCAAAGCCATGCCGCATCCAGCAGAGTCCCACAGCCGCAGACGCCTTCCGAAGTCACCGTCTCCTGGCAAGCCCCTCCCCCAGCAAGGCCCACACCAGCCCCGCCCCTCCCCACTTCCGCCAGGCTCTGGGCGTGGTCTTGCATCTGCTTTGCATTTCCAATGAGTGCTCCTCTGCCCCTCTCAGGCTGTAGACACCACCCCTCCCCAGGACTGCAGGGTCTCTGCCTTTTCTGAGTCAAGGCTTCCACCCCGCTTTCCTGGACCAGAGGTGGCTGCCAGGTTTGTGCAGAGCTAGCGGTTCTGAGGCGCTGGGAACGCACAGGGTCAGCGCCTCCTCGATGCGACAACGTAAGTACATTTCCATGTCATGTGCAATCCTTGTGATATAAGGTGACTGACTGTTATAGGCCATCCACAAGATGTCCTCTGTCCCTAACCATTGTCCTAGAGTTGAAAACAGTGGAAACTATTTTTTTTTAAGAGTTTTTCCCCCTGAAAATGTTCCCTGTGAGCCAGAACGGTGAGGAGGAGGGCATTTCTTCAGTTCCTTCAAGCAGGTAGGTCCAACAGCTGCCTGCTCTGCAGAGAGACAGGGAGAATGGGTGTTGCCTGGTGTCCTGCCTACCTGACATCACTCCAGTAGCCCCTGGGAGCATCTGAGAGGAACCCAATCCCAAGAGCACTGTCACTTGGTAGGATTGCTATCATTTAATTTGCCACATTGCTTCTTAACCTGCTTTTTGTGCCACCTCCTCTGGTAAATCATAAGTGTCCTAAGGGCTGGTTACATTCTATTCATCTCCCAGTGCCTGCCACATTGTGATAGAAACAAGCAGAGCAACCACTGAGTGAGCACCTACCCTGGGCCAGGCACAAGTGCTTGACAGGTATAAATGACCTATCAATAGATGCCACTATTATGCCCACTTCACAGATGCTGAGATAGAAGCCCAGAGAGGTTAATTAACATGGCCACGATCACATGGGGAATAGAAACCCAACTCATGTTTAGGCTTTTCAGTTTCTAGGGGAAACTTCCCTGAAACATTCTCAGGCAGCAGAAATCTGGAGCCAGCTCCAGGTCTGAGAGGGATGGCTCAGAAGCAGCATTGCCCCAGGCTCTGCCTCTGTTGTGTAACAAGTGGCGCCAAGGATTTAGAATTTCCCCGGAAGTGAAATAATGATCATAAACGTCTTTATTACAAGAAGATGTGCATTGCTTTTGCAATCTGCTTTTGTTTTTTTTTGTTTGTTTTGTTTGTTTAAGACAGGGTCTCGCTCTGTCACCCAGCCTGGAGTGCAGTGGTGCGATCTCAGCTCACCGCAACCTCTGTCTCCAGAGCTCGAGTGATCCTCTCACCTCAAAGAGCTGGGACTGCCGGTGTGTGCCACCATGCTTGGCTATTTTTTGTAGATACAGGTTTTGCCATGTTGCCCAGGCTGGTCTGGAGCTCCTGGACTCAAGCAATCCACCCACCTTGGCCTCCCAGTGTTGGGATTATAGGTGTGAGCCACTGCACCCGGCCTGCAATCTGCTTTTGAAAGCACTTTTCTATCAAATATCTTTTTAGATGCTGTGAAGAAGGCAAGGTGGGTATCATTTCATTCTGATGAAGAAACTCAGGCTCTGAGAGAAGTGATGGTCCAAGACCACACAGCGCGGTGATGGCAGGAATGGCATCTGTGTGCTGGAAAGACTTTCAGAAGAGGATGCTCTTCCTCTAAATGAGTTTGGGGAACAGCCCAGCCCTTCTGCCCATTTACCAACAGCTCAAGGTACCCCCAGGGGACAGTCTCTGTGCTCAGGGATAGGTCTCAGGGTCATGCTGACTACACACCAAACTGCTCCCTTCTTGAAGGAAGAGGCTGAATTCTGAGCACGCCGATGAGTGCATGGACAGCTCGGGACCCCTGTGCCTCAGTGGCTGCACACTCCAAGGCCGAGTTTATGAAGGGGGACCAGCAGTCATCTATTTCCCCCGTCAAACACCGCTACGGGCTTGCATCCATGCCTGTGGGTTCCGTGGTACCCTAAGACTTTTCTCACAGTCCCCATTTTTGCTTAGTGTTGGTTTCTATTACTTGTAACCAATAGAGCTAATACAGTGTAACTCAGTCGTTCTCAACCAGGGGTGCTTGTGTTCCCAGGGGACATTTGGCAATGTCTACAGATATTTTTGGTTATCATAACTGGGGGAAAGGGGGTGCTACTGACATCTAGTAGGTGGTCACGGATGCTGCTAAACATCCTACAATGCACAGGACAGCCCCTCACACCAGGAACCATCTAGTCCAAAATGTCAACTTGAGGACCCCTCAACGCACCATGCTTGTCAAAGACAGGAGCCATCATCATGAAAAATAGGCTTTGTGTCTCACTTCTCCATTTAGCAAAGAGTCTTTCATTTTAAACGGTAACATTCTGGTGGTGAGAATATGGTGAGAGGGCAGACAATGAGTGCTACCTCTATGAAGAATCACTGGCTGGGCGCAGTGGCTCATGCCTGTAATCCTAGCACTTCGGGAGGCCAAAGCCGGCAGATCACAAGGTCAGGAGTTTGAGACCAGTCTGGCCAACATAGTGAAACCCTGTGTCAAGTAAAAATACAAAAAATTAGCTGGATGTGGTGGTGTGCACCTGTAACCCCAGCTACTCAGGAGGCTGAGGCAGGAGAACTGCGTGAACAGGGGAGGCGGAGGTTGCAGTGAGCCGAGATCGCGCCATTGCACTCCAGCCCAGGCAACAGTGCAAGACTCCGACTCAAAAAAAAAAAAAGAATCATTTGAATCATTTAACAAGATATTTACCTGGGGCCTTAACATATTCACTCTTAAATCAGTAATTTACTTTGTAGAATTTATTCTTGGTAGAAAATCTTAATTCAGAGATATACACAAAGATTTATGCAAAAAGGAGGTTCCATGCAGCTTTATTTATAATGGTGAAAAATGGAAACAACTTAAATATCCAACCATTGGATATTGGTTACATAAATTATGATACATTCATAGCACAGAATAATATATGTAGCACTTAAAATTATGTTTATGATGATTATTTAGTAACACAGGGAAATGCTCATTATGTTAACTGAAAAGCCAGAATATAAAATTTTTGAAATATGTATTAGCACAGAAAAAAGGCTGCAGGGAAATATATCAAAATATTAACTATGGCTATCTCTAGGGAGTAGGATCACAGCTATTTTTTTTTTTTGCTGTTTTCCTATTTTTAAAAAATATTTTCCAATTTTTCCGTAATTAACATGTATTATAATTCAGAAATTTAATACTAAAAAGGAATCCTGATATCAGAATTGAGGAGATTCTAGATTATTCATTCATCAAAAAATAAATATATCTATTAAGGGCCTGCCATGTGCCAGATAGACATTGTGAACAGGCAGATAAGGTCCCTGACCTCAAGGCGTTTCCAGTCCAGGAGAGGAAGCATTTCAGAGGTCCCAGCTATTTGCAAATTCTCTATTATAGAAACGACCTGAAAGGCTTTATTATTAACACCTAAATAGCTACCTTTGTTGAGAGTTTATTGTGTCAGTACTAGATGCCTTACAATTTTGATTTCATGATCTCTGCATAACATCCTGAGAAAATATGGTTAAGTCTTGGGCAGTGGCCAGGATTCAAACTAGATCCATTTACCATCAGCACAAATTCCCAGTCTCCTCTGCTCCCTGCTTCAGTGACAGGGGTCATTCAGGACCATAAGACATGGCAAACTGGAGCCACCAAGGAAGATTTTAAAGTCGAGAGAGCCAGATAGAAAAGGGTGTACAGGCCAGGCATGTTGGCTCAAACCTGTAATCCCAGCACTTTGGGAGGCTGAGGTGGAGGATTGCTTGAGTCCAGGAATTCGAGACCAACCTGGGCAACATAGTGAGACCCTGTCTCTACAAAAAAATTTTTAAAAAGACAAAATTAGCTAGGCAGCATGGTGCACACACCTGTGGTCCCAGCTACTCTGGAGGCTGAGATGGGTGCATGGCTTCAGCCTGGGAGGTTGAGGTTTCAGTGAGCCTTGATCATGCCACTTGGGCTTCAGCCTGGGCAAGACCCTGTCTCAAAGCAAAAAAAAAAAAAAGAAGAAGAAAGAAAGAAAAGAAAGGGGCATGAGTGGGAGGAATGTAGGCCACTGACCAGATGTCCAGCAGTAGAGCCAAGGGTGGGGTTGTTTGCAGTGTTAGGGAAGGTGGTGGGGCCAGGGCTGGGGCAGAAGGGTGGTCACTGTCACAGATGTGCTCTGAGCTGCCCATGAGAAGGAAGAAAGAAAAAGCAAAAACCATTTAAGAAATGGGGACAGGGCCGGGCGCAGTGGCTCAAGCCTGTAATCCCAGCACTTTGGGAGGCCGAGGCGGGTGGATCACGAGGTCAAGAGATCGAGACCATCCTGGTCAACATGGTGAAACCCCGTCTCTACTAAAAATACAAAAAATCAGATGGGCATGGTGGTGCGTGCCTGTAATCCCAGCTACTCAGGAGGCTGAGGCAGGAGAATTGCCTGAACCCAGGAGGCGGAGGTTGCGGTGAGCCGAGATCGCGCCATTGCACTCCAGCCTGGGTAACATGAGTGAAACTCCGTCTCAAAAAAAAAGACATAGGGACAGAAAGAAGAGTGCTTTGATGGATTGGAGTGGCTGCAGCTGTGGCCAGAAAGGAGCGTGTCCTCTCCCCAGAGGTGAGTCTATTAGAGAAGGCTCCATGCAGTGAGAGGGGAGCACAGAGGAGAACGAGCTTGTGCCGCAAACCAAAGCTCAGGGGACGGAAATCAGGAGGCCTCATGGGTTGTAAAGGGCTGTTGAGATTGCCTCCTCCCAGAAGAAATCAACAGAAAGGCTCCTGCTTCTTTGGCGACCCAGAATCCCTCCGAGGAAGCCAGAGTTGCAGCCAGCACTGTGTCACTGTTGCGGCTGCGGCTGCTGTTGTTTTTAGGCTACTTTGAGGTAATAGATGTGAAAGTGTTTTGAGAAATACAAAGCACTCTGTGTTCAAATAAAAGGTGTTGTTTCCATTCTTTCCTCTTCCTGTCTCATTTCTCAAAACTCCCTCTGCACACCAGGCAGCTGCTGGACTGAGCTATTGGACATGTCTCGCCTCCCACAGGCTCCCTTGCCTCCAGCGCCCCCATCCCCTCGCCTTCACCTGGCTGACCCCCTCCTTCCTGGCACACAAGGCCCAGCCCTGCTTCCTCTACCCCGGAAGCCTCCCCGGGACCCTCCAGACTGGGCTGGAGCCTCCTCCTCTGGGCTGGGCCAGCACCTGTTGACCGCCGGCTGCACATACTGCAATTTTCTGTGCTTTCCGTTTTTGTTTTATCCTTTTCAGTCTTTTTTCCTCACTCTCCCCACCGCGACATAAGTTCCTTGGACACAGACAGAGTGTCTAATTTGTGACTGCATGCCTAGAATCTAGAAAAGTCCAGGCATATTTTTGTAAGCCCAGCAAATGTACGTGGATTTGAATGAATTAGTAAATAAAATAATGTATATGAAGTCACTTTTTATGGTCTTAGGAATAATCATTATTAACTGTTCATTCAATAATATTCACTGATCACCTACTCATCTTTGAAAGGCCTCTACCAGGTATGCAGGGCAGCACATAACAGGGTCTCTTTGCTCTCAAGGACTTTGTGAGGGAATGAGGGAGAATTTTACAGCCTACAGACGACAATAACATAAATGTAGTAACACTTATCTGCCCTAAAATAACCAGGCTGCCTGTTGTAGAAGTGCAGTCAGGAACAGCTCCCCAGAGGCTTCAGGAAGGCTCCTGAAGGAGGAGCTGACATGAACTCTGCCTTATCCAGCGCCCCCGCAGCCCTGGGCCCTTCACTTCGTTCTGTTCCTTCTGCTTTGGGATGACTTAAGGGAGCTTGCGTCCTGACCCCAGCTGCTCCTGGCCAGCAGCTCCCTGGGCCTCTCTGAGGCCACCATCTGGCAAACTTGGGGAGTCTTTGCTCTGAGGCTCCCCGGAGGGTCACTCCTGCTGCAGCTCCCTCTGGCCAAGGCCTCAAAGCAGCACAGGCTGGGGGATTGGGAGCCCACCAACCCCTGGTTCGAGTCCTGGCTCTGCCACTTGCTGGTTGTGTGTAGACATAATTATACTTTATCCAAGCCCCAATTTCCTTGTGTATAAAATAAGGCCAGGCAGGTGTGATAGTTCACGCCTGTGATCCTAGCACCTTGGGAGGCTGAAGCAGAAGGATCACTTGAGGCCAGGAGTTCAAGACCAGCCTGGGCAACACAGCAAGACCTTGTTTATACAAAAATTCAAAAATTTAGCCAGGTCCCAGCCACTTAGGAGGCTGAGGTGGGAGAATTGAAGGGCCCAGGAGGTCGAGGTTGCAGTGAGCTGTGATGGTGTCACTGCATTCTAGCCTGGGTGACAAGAGTTAGATCCTGCCTCAAAAAAACAAAAACATAACATAAATAAAATGAGGACAGCAATAGCCATTGATGAGATGGTGACACTTCAATGAAACAACAGATATGGATAACCTAGAACATTCTTTTAAAAGCCTTCAATAGGCCGGGCACAGTGCCTCACGCCTATAATCCTAGCACTTTGGGAGGCCAAGGCGGGCACGAGGTCAGGAGTTTGAGACCAGCCTGGCCAATATGGTGAAACCTGTCTCTACTGAAAATACAAAAATTAGACGGGCGTGGTGGCACATGCCTGTAGTCTCAGTTACTCAGGAGGCTGAGGCAGAAGAATCGCTTAAACCCAGGAGGCAGAGGTTGCAGGGAGCCAAGATCACACTACTGCGCTCTAGCCTGGGCGACAGAGCAAGACTCCGTCTCAAAAAAAAAAAAAAAGGTAAACTACTTTTCCCTCTAGGATCCATAATGTGCAGTGCATTGAAGCCAGCGGTGGGTGCACTCTAGGCTTCATGGGCGTGTTACTCAGACATCTTACAAGGCCCTGTCCCGTCCTGTGGTCTGGGAACCCTCCTGGGATCCCAGAAAAATAATGCAGGTTAGTAAAACTCAGACCTCCTAAATTTTATACACACATTTAAGAATCTCTCCTGCTGGGGCTGGGGCTCACGCCTGTAATCACAGCACTTTGGGAGGCTGAGGTAGGCGGATCATCTGAGGTTGAGAATTCAAGACCAGCCTGACCAACACAGAGAAACCCTGTCACTACTAAAAATATAAAATTAGCCAGACATGATGGCACATGCCTATAATCCCAGCTACTCTGGAGGCTGAGGCAGGAGAATCGCTTGAACCTGGGAGGCAGAGGTTGCGGTGAGCCAAGATCACACCATTGCACTTCAGCCTGGGGAGCAAGATGGAGACTCTGTCTCAAAAAAGAAAAAAAAAGAATCTCTCCTATTGAGCAGGGTCAAGAACTAATTGTAATTAAACTATAGATGCCTGAAAAGAGAGAATGGCCACATTTTAACCTCTGACCCCATGAGGCACAAGGATGCAGGTATAGTGACCCCAGATGAGGAAACCAGGCCTCGAGAAGGGAAGTGATTTGGCCAAGGGCACACAGTGCACAAGGGGCAGAACCCAGACCAAATATACAGATTTTGTTTTGGATCCAAGAAATTACTGAAATGGACAAGAAATGTCATTAGTTAAAAGCCATGTTACCTGCTGGGCGCGGTGGCTCACACCTGTAATCCCAGCACTTTGGGAGGCCGAGGTGGGTGGATCACAAGGTCAAGAGATCAAGACCATCCTGGTCAACATGGTGAAAGCCCGTCTCTACTAAAAATACAAAAAATTAGCTGGGTATGGTGGCACGTGCCTGTAATCCCAGCTACTCAGGAGGCTGAGGCAGGAGAATTGCCTGAACCCAGGAGGCGGAGGTTGCGGTGAGCCGAGATCGCGCCATTGCACTCCAGCCTGGGTAACAAGAGCGAAACTCCGTCTCAAAAAAAAAAAAAAAAAGCCATATTATTTTGAATACACATACAGCTAATTTGATAAAGAACAATAAGCCCCAGCATTGAGATATATTTCAGACTAATTTGATGTTCTTTAGTGTTCCCTTATTTTTGAAACATGTTTTAAATATGAAATTGATGTCCTTCACAAAACATCTTTTGAAAGCACTGTTATAGTTGTATAAAGATGATGTAAAAATATCGAAGGTGGTCTAAATATAATTTATTTTCATTAGTAAAGTTTTGCAAAAAATTAAACATATTAGTTTTGTTACCAAAAAAAAAAATCTTTCCTCTCTGCATAGTTACCATGTAACAGGCTGGGCACCAGGCGCCCCCTTCTTGCCTAGGGACCAGTCTGCCTTTGTAGGACTAACAAATTCGCTACAAGATTAGAAATTACGGTTTAGGGGTCATGTAGCCTCTGGCTCCAAGAGTCTGAACCTTTCCAAATTGTCCCTGGGGATCACATCACTGTTATAAAACCTAAGATCAGTGCTTGAGATATTTTGTAGACCCTGCTCTCAATGGACCAGCTGACACCACCCAGACCAGTAATCTGGCTCAGTCAGTACTGCCATCGCACCCAGGAACAGAAAACAGCAAGAAAACCTCACTGCGACCCTGACCTCACAGATTCCATCGCCAACCTGACCAATCAGTACACCCCACTTCCCAAGCCCCTGCTTACCAAATTATCCTTAAAAACTCTGATCCCGAATGCTCGGATGCCTGGGGAGACTGATTTTGAGTAATAATAAAACTCCGGTCTCCCCCACAGCCTGCTCGGTGTGAATTACTCTTTCTCCATTGTAATTCCCCTGTCAAGGCAGCAGGCAAGGTAAACCCAGTGGGTGGTTACACTGTCCTTGCAGTCTCTAAGGCTCCTCCTGCCCCAGCGCTCAGGGACTCCCGGGCATTCAGTGGAGGGGTGTAAGATGGAGCCAGGCCTGACATCCTGCTGACTTGCTTGTCACAGAACAAAGGTCCCAGGGTTATCTGGCCCATCCTTCTGCTCCCTGCTCTGCCCCCCTCCTCTCTGCCTCCTGCTCCCAAACCAACCTGTCTGTCCACCCCGTTATCAGCACTACAGCTGGCTAGAGGGGAGGGAAGGAGAGGCTGCATTCATTGCAGCCTTGCACATATGAGCAAGTTTGTGGGCCCACAGCCTTCACCCCACGCAGCCCCTGCTCTGCCACTGCATCATCTCCAAACTCTTCTCTCCTCCCTGCTCCCATCCCCAACCACAGAAGCCTAACAGATTCCAAGGGAGCAGCTGGAACCTCCTTACAGCTGGACCTTTTGCTGGTGGGAAGGAGAAAGTCATGCCCTGACCTGGGCATCTCAGGGAGACACTGCTCAGGCCTCTGCCTTTTGGGTCTCCTCTTGGTTCCATTTGTCCTGTAGCCTCTCCCTGTAGAGGAGGTCAGGAGGAGCAGTCACAGTCATCCTGCCTGATGCATTAGGATGCAGAAACCCAAGAAGCTTGAATGGCTCACTCAAGTTCACATACAGCAGCCCAAGGAGGAAACCATTCAGTCCAACAGGAGCTCAGCCAAGTTGCCAGCTGGCCTTGCCTTCCTCCCGGCGAGGGCCAGTATCCTGTATGGATTCAGGGAGAACTCAAATGTCAAAACTGGCAGAGGTGGAAGAGGGGAGTGGCAAAGGGGGGAAAAGATGAATCGAGGAGTGCAATCCCCCTAAAGAAAGAAGGCTTCAATGTCCTCGGTGGCCCCCTGCCGGCTCCCAGTGCCAGCCACAGCAACATCCTCCATTGAATCTTTAATTAAAAGAACAGGACTTACAAAATGGGTGTCAAGCTACGCTCTTAATCTGCACCAGAGTCAGCCCCTCTGGGAGCCACTAAAACAGATCAAAGCTGCTTCTGTGGAGCCCTCACTCTCCAGGGGAGTCGGCAGCAGGAAAAAGATTTGGAAAAACCAACAATTATAATAATAATAATAAATGAGGAAAGAGGGGAGAGTTGGGAGTAGGAGGGCATGAGGCTCTCAGGCCAAGGAAGGCAGCAGGGTCCAGGCCATGCTTGGTCCCCTGGTGTCTGTCCTCATACCCAGCCCCAGTGACAACTGGTGTCCTCAGCTCGGACCATG